GGTGCTGCCACGGTAGATCGCAGGTGTGAAAAAATTGCATCACTAAATCCAAAAGAAATGTGGTGCGCGAAACGCACAGAATGTTGGCAGGGCCATCAACCTTCGGGAACCAAGATTGCAGAATGAGTGTGGGTTCATCGAGATTCAGCAGGATTATGCAGGTTATTGGGTGGGACAATGTCGCGAATTCAGTTCTGGCACGCCACGTCTTGGCCAGCTATGTTTTCAAGCCCCCAGAACTGCTTCAAAAAATGGTGCTGAACCTGTCCATGTGGCAGCAACGCTGCATGTGGTTTCACTGTACTTGGGTTGCACCGACTGCACATGGTTGCGCCATAGAAGTCGTGTTGGTTGGGCAATGGATGCTGTGAACGCATTATCATAGGCCATGTTCACATATGCACTTCACATGATTGGGCCAGGGATGCTGTGAACACACAATGCATTACACAGCATACACAACGTGCAGTCCTGCTATATGGTTGCTATAGGCTTGATAATACGCGTTGGCCCATGCGCGTAATTATATGCTGGCCACCTTGGGCCATGGATGTGCTACCAAAACCCGTACTAATCCTGAACTTCAATTCGGGCCAAGGAAACTTCCGTGAACTCGGACGTCTAAACCACGCATGGCTTCGTGCTCACAGCTCAGCGCCGTCAACGCCCTGAGCGCCCGTAGCTCCCTCGCGTTTTCATCGCTGTAAATAGAACAACGCGGACTACGAAATTTCTGCGTCCATTTGACGTGCGTTCTCGTGATATTTCCGCAGCTGTTGCATGCAGTACTCTCTCAGATAGCCTGCAAGAGTGCAAGTGTACATCACACGGCGTAACCCCTGTGGTTGCCACAATGATGACAGGGAAGCCGTTACGCAACCAAAAAGATCGAAAACTGTACCCATGTTGACCACGTTGGGCAACCACCGAGCCGCGTGTACCGAAAGCGCTCTGCCAACCGGGAGCTGGCCTCGTGTCTGGCTGGAGCCCCCCAACACCCTGCCAGCATGTCCGCACGCTGTTTGCACAGGGACCTAAGCTCCAATTGCGCAATTTTGCAAGAATGCTGAAAGCAATCAAAAAGCAATGCCTGGAAGCTTCCGAGAGGCGACCCATGGCGACTTACTACCGGAGTTGCCGCGCAACTGTCCCCAGCGCCTCGTAAAGGGTGGGCTACTACAGCACAAGGCATTGGCAAAGAGGGCCGGCATCAGCGTCCCGTCGGCCCACGTGTACATGCTCTGTGTGCCGTCCGGGCGAACGGCAGCACCTGCTTCCAATCAGGGTGACGAATTAGGACACGAAGCCGGGACTCCTGAGACACGTGGTCAAACGCGCCCACCGTGTCGACAGAGAGAACAAATGAGCGCAGGTGAAGCTCCGTGGCGGAACGCCAAGCACGGGCAAAGGGCTCAGTCCCAGCCTGGGTAAGGCCAAACTGGTAAGGGAGGCAAGCGCTCTGGAAGTGTGGGGCAAGCGCTGGGCCAACATGCGGCCGACCAGGCGCCGAAGGACGTCATCGACGATGAGAGCGCGGACGTTGCGTCTGTTGAGCATCTGCAGCTTGGTGATCGAAAAAGGCCCGTGGGAGGTCGGCACGTGCACAGCGGCAGGCAGGCGGCTCAGCTCCATCGCTGGCGTCGCAAGGCCCCCAATGCCGGGTCTGTACGCGTTTGGACAGCGTGCTGTGCCCGCGTCCGAGCAACCAGGCCTCGCACCCGCTTGCCCTATCAAACAATGAAATCAAATAATTTATGCATTGCAGGAGATTGCAGGAGTATGTGACGCTTGATGGGACGTTTATTTAGTTTATCGGGAGTCATGACGAGCGGCAATTTCGAACAGGCTGGCAGGAAGGAAACGACCACTCCCGAGGCCCGGGCATGCTGAAAACAGAGCAGATGTAGTCGAGAATAGGTTCACCACGTCGAGGGGGACATCGTGGTGCAGATCCCGAGAATGTGTACGCAAACCACAGCTGAACACTGCACGCCGACTGTTTGGTTCGACTGCTCGCCGTCCATCAAGCTAGTTGGCTAGTTGCGAGCAAGACCGTTGATCGCGTCGCCCCCGCTCTGCGCAAAGGACGGCCACCATGCGACCTGTTTTTGCAACCGCATGTGGGCGTGACGAGCCGAATCCCGTCATGGCCTCGGCAACCTACGAAGAGGAGTCGATAATTAAGAGGTCTTCGAGGCTCGGTTCCCAGAAGCACGGCCTGTGCTTAACGAACAGCAGTGACGAAGCCTCCGACTCAAGCCAACGCGCTTCCGCAGCAAAATGTATGTTTAGCAAGTTTAAGCGTCGTTGAACAGTTTCATCACCTGGTTGACGTCTTGCACGGTGACTGGCAGTTTCGTCTGATACTGCACATCAGCAAATCGAGACGAATTGTCTGCGAAAGTCAGTCGTTGATGCTTCAAGCCATTGCTGGGGCGGACTGATCGTTGTTGGGGACGGGGAGCCCGCGAATCGATTGGCGGCTGCCCTCTCTAGAATCAGAAGCCGCGCGGACGTGCTGCACAGGCGCTGCACAAGAGCTCAGAGAACGTGCACCGGTAGCCGGCGGTGAGCAAAGCTTAATTCATGCGACGGCAACCATGCCACAACGGCGACGCGAAGGTGACACGGGACTTGCGATCAAGGATGCTCACTTGTCGCGTCCGCGCGCCGGCGACAGTGCCGTCCAAGAAGCCCTCCACCACTGAGCTGACGTTGACCTGGACCAAACTTGGAGCAACTGCTTTCGGCATGTGCCACCGTCATCTTGGAGGCTTGAACAGAAGCGTTGCAACCTCCGCTCTTCTCTCCTGAAACTTGAGCGGGCAGAATTCCACACTTGCGTGCAAGATCCACAACATCCACAGACGGACGCTTGGAACATGCTTGGGGAATGGATCGGGCGTGGCAAAGCGAAAGTTGCGTGGCCAATGGCGCCGGATCTCGAATCTGAAGCTGCAGCCCGAGAGAGGTCATCCAACGAAAACATGATGACTGCCGCCACAACATGCTCGCCGATCAAGCCAGAACAGAAGCTCAGGTGCTGCCAAGGGGCGACGGATGCTTGATGTATGCCTTTTTGGTCTGAGACTGCTCCGGGGAAGTCGCCATGTAACTAAGCTGCCAATGCCTCGGGCGTCGGGAACAGAGTCTCAGAGAATGCATGCAGCGTTGACAAGCAGTGACAAGGGAGAGAGGGTTTGTGTTTTTCGAGCTAACTAGGCCGCCTTTTGCCGCTGAGCTCCCGACACTCCACGAAGATCCGCCTTCGCATCGACCTGTTGTTGTCAAGCAGTGCGCAGACTGGTAGACTAAGACTCAGCTTTGTCTAAGACAAAGCTGATCCAACCTCGTGCTAAGACAAAGCTGATCCAACCTCGTGCTTCTGTTCCGGCCTCGGCCTCAAGGATTGCGCAGCATTTCGTTGTACACTGCATAACTTTCGCAGCCCGCACTCCCCGGCGCGCTATTCCGCTCTTAGCTCCGTGCCAGTCGATTTTGGGCCGGCTAGCCACCATGGAGCCACTGCGTTGCAACACTTTGGCTTGCATGGCTGGTCTCCGTGAAGGCAGCTACAGGCTGTTGGTTACAGCCCGCAGCCGCCTCTTCGCATTGCTACCATGCTTTTCATTTGGAGCAACGCGGCCGATCACTGCTTTTTTCAGGCTGTACGCTTCAAGGGGGCAGGCTTCCAGTAGGTTATGCGAGCACTGAACGATGAAACCAACCAATCATCCGGAGTTGTCGACCGGTGTGTGGGCGCTTCCTGGCCGGCGAGGCAGAGAAGCCAGACGAGGAACGGAAGGGGCCAGAGAAGCCGCCATGTTGAACATGGTTTGGCATCCGGTGAAGTGTCATTGGGGGAAACTGCCGTGAGCTTTCGCGGAGTGGTTTTCCGATATTTGCAGCTCACGAAACTGCGCGGTTTCCTTGCTGACCGGATGATAGCGCGGGACACTACCGTGGACCCGAATTGCGAAAGAACTTCCCAACACAAAGACACAAAGCTTCTCCATCCGAACGCAACTGCAACACAGAACTTCGTCTTCTATATTCGATGTGATGAGATCTTCAATAATCTGATGCTGCTGATAATTTTGGACTTTGGATTTCTCGCACTTATATCGCACTTCCGATGGGGGATACATGGGGCATGTAGCCCCTCGAGTTAGGCACATCCTTTAATCAGGCGGAACACCGCTTTTTCCGGCCCGCGCTGGGTCTTTTGTCTGTTGTCGGACGAATCCGTGTCAGCCTCACGACTCGCGCACCCCTTCTTGGCAAAGGCCTCTCTGGTTCTAGCGCTGAAAGAGTTTGTAGCATAAGGATGAAGCATGCTGAAACAGATTGCTTGCTTTCGAGAAGCCTAGCCCAACCACCGCGGGAAGCCTCTTGTTGCTGGGACTTAAACTGCTTAGAAGGAGCGGGCTGGTAGCTGAATCTGTGAAACGCTGTTGATCTCATGCCTACTGTCCTACCTCACATAGGACCAAGGGAGACCCGGCCAGCATCCCTATACATCTGGTAAGTTTAATCATGATTCTTCTGCAGCACCCCCATGCGCCAGCAAAGCTTGACCTGGGTCTCCTTGGAGTTGCATGAGCCTACAACTACGAAGCAAACTGAGGCCGTTGTGGCATTACCGTAGTAGCCTTCGCAGAGCTGCAAACCAACAGGGGGCACTTGGCATTTCGGCATGTAGTCGAGGTCCAAGAGGTCCAACGGAAAAAGCTCTTTCGTGAAGCAACTACAACGGCCACAGTTGAGATGCACGGCAGCATGCTTCAACGATGACCCAACTCAGAGATCCACTTTCATGCCCCAATGGAGGGGAAAGAACTCAAGGAACTCGTCACCAAGGTTCATCAGCACGCGCCTGATGGGAGTGCGAGTACAAAACCACGCTGAAGAGCTATTGCTTGCCCTCGGCCCGTGCCTCAGGGCCCTGCCGAAGCAGCACCCAGCCCCGCCCGGGAATACCAGGCGAGGCACCTTTAGTTTCAGCAGCCTGCGGGCGTGTTCAAGCGACAACGGAGCGAAGGATTCTCTGCGACACCGATATGCGCCTCCCTTAGTAGGAAGGGCTGAACCCTCCGTCTTCTCTTCAGTCATCGTGGTGTACGACCTCATTGCGCACAAACGTTCATCGCACGAATGGCCGTCGCAACGTTCGTCGACTCTTTGAGGCAGAGACTCGGCATAGGTTGGGTGGATTCCCACCTTGGCAAGCTGCGTGTCCCGAAACCCTACACACCCCTAGACCCCAAAAGGCTAAACCGCAACAGTTGCAATCACTGCTTGTATCCCGTAAGACCGTCCGCTGAAGCAGCCGCGAGCAGTCAGCTTTGATCCGCTTTGCGGGCCGAGATGCGCAGTCATCGAAGTGTTCCTCTCAAGCACAACATTCTTTGGCTTATTCTACGGGCCCAGGGTCTGTTGCGCAGATAATTGAAAATTTCGAGTCCGAGCGCACCCACACCCGCAATCCGAAACCACTTTGTGTCCACTGTCGCATGCATCAGTGCCTATTGCGGCTCAAAACGAAATGCTGAAAGTTCAATCCCCAAGCTCTCCTTCGTGACACCGCAGCGGATGGCCACGCTCAGGCCTGACCACGGATCCGCAGAAAGTTGTGTTTATTTCTCAAAAATACTCAATGTCAGGTCTATCCGCATGAAAAAGGCGGACACCAACAACATACAAGCCCATCCCCTCAAGGGTGCTGGGATGCAGGCCCCAATGTAACAGCCAAATCGCGAAGAGTCCCACGCGGGTGTGCCACTTCAAACTCAAATGCCAGGATGCTCCAAAAGAAAAATGGACTTGGAGCCACAACGCGAGAATGCCTAACGTGAGTGCTATTTCGAAGAAAAACTACGAAACTCCTTTTCAAAAAGCAGTGATGGAAGCAAGAATACTAGCACTAGCAGTAATCAGTTGTAGCACAAAAAACACGTATCACACGCCCGTGATCAAAAAAGTTTCATTGCGCAGGCCAACTAACTATTGTTTTGGGGATGGGGCACAAGTCCTGTTTGACTAAGCTCCCCCACCACCCCCGCCAAAATATCGTAACATCACTGATTCAAGGTTTAAGGTTTAGGGTGTCCAGCATGCTTTCTAATCTTCCGGTTTTCCCCCAACACCCCTACCCAGCGACTAAATTTTAGGCCTCGGTGAGTATCCCAATCTTTCTGAGTGGCTGAGCGCATTCCATCAGGATCTTGCGAGGCCGTTTTAAATGTGTTTATACGCATTGCCTGACTTAGGCGGGTGAGTCTTGAGCCAACTGGCTTGAGCCTCGCTCGTCTTCGCTTTGAAGCTTGACCCACTTAGTCCCAAAACCACCTAAACCGAACAAAAAAACCTGGCAGCCTAAAGCGGTTCTGGGCTTGCCCACATCACTTCCCTCAGCCACATGGAACTCTTGCGACTCGTCGTACAGAAAGCTTAGACACTCTGTGACACGACAACGCGTGCTGGCGGTTCATAAACGAAGCTTACCTGTCTCATTGCTCAGTGCTGTGAGGCTTTGTCAGGGGCCAGCAACTCTATATCCCAACAAGAGGAAGCTTCCTTGCGCGCCTTGGATGATCTCCCCAGCGTTGGGGCCAAGGATGTGTACACCAACCACCTTCACGCGGAGCTCCGGGTTTCTGTCGTTAGAGACAGAGGTGGACATGGTAGATAGATCACCCCTATAGCCTACAGCTTCAGCTGCTTGAGAAGAATGCTAGGCCCATGCCCTTTTGAAGTTCAAAGCCTGGACAGCAGGATCAAACAACTGTCGTGGAGTTGGACGGATATTGTTGTGGCAGCAGGTCTGGCAGCTGACGTGGTGCAGTGGCGCAGCCCAAGACAGAGTCCCAACCTTCTCCTTCTCCTCCTTGTCCACGATCAGCTTCATGTACCCCATGTCGTCCTGCGGAACCAGGGTGCCCGCAGACACCCACTTGCTCGTGACAGGAGTTGCCGTGATGTGACATTATGCACAAATGCACGAACACAGCTCAAGAGTGGACGGTGGACCGACTTGATCAAATCATGACTTCCTTCCCCTACCACTCCCGACCGCTGAGGCCTTACGCTCGGAGTTCAGGTTCCACTCCAAAGGCTGGGCGGTGCAGTGGTAGACCTTGCAGGCACCAAGCCAGGCCACAGGTGAATCCAAGGATATTGAATACACAAAGTTGCATGCGCATTCTGCAATATCTGCTCGCAACTGTGCTACAGCGACAGCCAATAAACAGCTCTGTTTGCCTTGCGGGCTGCTGTCGGATCAAGAGGCAACGATGCTTTGTTACACAGACCAAGCAGATCAAACGGTGGATGGGCGATGGTCATGATTATGGTGGTGATGAAGATTATGACTGCGATGATGACTGCGATGACGACGGCGATGATGATGATGGCGATGATGATGATGATGATGATGATGATGGCAACGACGATGATGACGACGATGATGATGAACAAAACGATGGATGGACTGACGGATGAACGACTGGCTGGTTGGTTGGGTGGATGGACATGCCATGCATACGCATGAACCATAGCTGCCTCTGCTCTCCCTTGCTTCTGTATCTTGCAGATGCCTTGATGCGGTCCTTGGAGATCTTTTCCCTCGCTTCGTCCTCAGAGTAGCCCACCTTTTGCAATTTCTGGAAGAAAGTACGGTACAGCAGGGCATAGCAGTGGTATTGCCCTTCGCAAGGCACCCTGAGGAGACCACACAGCCGTACTCGATGGGAGTGAAGACTGTGGTGGCAATGTCTGTGTAGTCCATCTTCCTTATGACTCGGGTTCTGAGACGGCACAGGGCCCCAGCGACGCGTGGAGAAATCTGGGCCACCCTGGCTTCGTGGACCCAGCGAAGAGGCGGCGCGTCAACATGCGGCCGGCCTTTATACCACCCAATGTAATTTGAAGGGCACGGTATACACCTGAACCACCGTTCATACGATACACTCCATCATGTTCTGGAGACCATTCGGTCTTAGTAGTGCAAGCTCTTTGGTTCAGAGGTCAAAGTAGTCTACATGAGGCTTTTCAGGAATCCTCATCCGAACCTTCCGCCCCAGCACGAGACCCTGACAAGGCTCAGTGCGGGCCCTGAAGATCCGTCACCCTCAGCTTCAATGCCGATCGCGTGACTGAGCTGCCGACACTGGAGGTATGCTCGAAGCTCACTTGCTGTGAATGCACGACACTAGACCCCATTCTGCAAATGCTTCATCGTTTGCCTGGCTTGGCTTAGCTGCGCTCTTCCTAGCTTGCTCCTTGGGCTTGGCCGGCTTTTGCTGCTTTGTCAGCCAGCCTCAAACGCTATCTACCTGACACCCCTAAACCCCAAATCCCCCCGGAATAGTGCTTCGCCTGGATGGCCACCGGGGTCAGCTCGGGCTTCCCCTCGCACACCTCGGCTGCGCAACTTCTCCTTTTTAACTTCCCGCCCTGACTAATCCTCGGACCCCTACCCAGATCCGGAAGAAACGCTATAAGACTCGCTAGCTAGCAACGAAACCTCTTAAGCTCCAAGACTGTCTCAACATCACCAACCGACCTACATACTTCTTCCACCGACGAAATTCGTTTAAGAAGTCTTCTAAAGATTGCTCCCGCCAATTCTTACGCCTGTACCTTCGATCCTATCCAGGTTCTTTTAAATCCCTCACCAAATCTCGGAACTCTACGTCAAGAGCTCCTGCTGTCTACTGCCACGGTTGCTCAGGCGAAGCGCATCTCCGATGGCGAAAATGTTGGGCACGCTGGTCTGGTCATTGTCGTCGACAACCTTAGCGCATCCGCATTCTGTCTCAACGGGATCTGTAGGTTTGTTACGCAACTAGCTAAACCGACTTTCCAAAAGTGCCTTCTTGCAAACAGTGTGGGTTCGCATGGAGCACACATCGGGTCGGCAACTCGGAGATTGTGCATGTCGCGATGTCAAGTCTCCAACGACTTTGCCCGTCTTCGGGTTGTAGGACAGGCCGGCTGCCTCCACTGCTGGGTCACATGCGACATGCACTGCTCAGCGCACTTGGCAGAAGCAGATTGAGGCGATTGAACTTCTCGGTATTTCTCGGTGAGTCTGTGATTTGCTGCTTGATAGCTGAGCTTTGTGCTGGAAATGGCACTGGCCTCCACATTGAGCTGGCTAGCCAAGCCGGTCCGGCCGATGGCAACCAGCACAGTGTCGAACACCTCAGAATAAGCTGAATAGATAAGCTGAGCAACGCAAAAGGAAGCGTTGCTGAGGCTTCGTGTTTGGGGGAGGTCGGACAGGTACCCAGTAAACATTCGTGAAGCATCTACAGACCAGATGCTTCTGTCGAAAGTGCCTCACAGACATCCGCTGCACTCGAGATCTCCGGCACTCCGAGCTCGCGGCCCCGTACTCCGCGTCCTTCACGAAAACCTTGACCTCCAACAATTGAAACCCAACAAAGTCGCTAAAACGTTCAGTGCGACCTGCTGCACACTCCAGGCCCTCAGAATTCCTAGCCCTCGTCGGTCAAGGGATTCATGAACTCTTCGCCTACAGGAGTTTCTGGTACCAGCCTTCCCATCCGCTGTTTTCTCGAATTTGGATGGGACCATCTCCTGCCAAGTTTGGCACTCTCGATACTGGGCGGGCGAGTAGGTGAGGGTAGGCCTTCCTTCTGAGTAAAGGCTGGAAACTTGAGGAAAAAGAACCCGTCCAAGACCCAGCTTGGCTGCGTACTCACGGGGGGTTACGAAGGGTCTCGGGCTCAGGGCTCAGGGCCGTTTTCGAACTCTGTGTCGCAAAGCTTCCTTTGTTGTCCGGTGCGAAATCCACCGAAGCCAGAGTACGTCATAGTCTGTCAACGCAACAACCCCAGATAGCCACGACATGCAAACTGTTGGACATTGGGGGAAAACACTGCGGATGCGGGCAAGGACAATCAGACAAAGAGGGTCGTGGACAGGAGCCGTCCCACCCTCTGTCATACAGTGCAAAACAGCGTGCAGCTCACAGACTTGGCTTGCTTGATACTCTCAGGCATCTGCCCGCGCGAAGTTCACACCGTGCTTCTGCATGTACTGACCAATCATGTTGGCGATGTCCTTCCAGGTGAGAGATCGGGATGCAAATCAGCAAAGCTGCGGGTGGAAAGAATAGCCGCTCTGCGGAGCTTTGCGTTCGGTAGCTACGTGAGGAAAGGATGGGAGCTGAGCCCGGACGTTCATGCTTGGAAGAGCGTGGTTGCGCAGTGTGGATGCTTGCATGGCAGCAATGGAGTTCAAGAAACATTCGATGACTAATGACTAATGACTGATGCAAAAAGCACACAACAGCGACGGCCCGGCGAGCACAAGCGACGATGTCAGCAGCAAGGGTCCGTGACCGCAGGTGGGACGTGGGTTTTGAAATTTCTCTTCTTGCTACTCACCTAGGCACCTGCTCAAATATGCTCAGATGCTTAAAAAGCAACTCCCTAAACCCCCAACCACCGGACCTGGTCAAAGCCCCGCAGCAGAATGGAGCGGACCTGGCCAGCGCAAGCCCGAATTAGTTAAATTTACCAGGCTTCCGCTCTGCAGGTGAAGTTTTCTTACTATGGAGCTGCATCGGATCGCTAGGGCCGCTAGGGATATACATTAAGGTGAGAAGCCAAGGCATCCTTAGCCCAGGCACCATCACCGTGACATCGAAGCCGAAACCGGCGATGAAGCCTGCACACCTGCGCTGGGCAGATGGCTGTGTCGAGCTGCGCTGTGTGAAGCTGACGGTCGGATCACTCCCTGGAGATTGCAGTGGGCTTAGAGAGAGCAGGCGACGAGACTCCATTTATAAACCATTCAACTTGAAACCTCTCGCTCTCTTTTTCCCGTTAGGCTTACTTTTCGGTAGCCTGCCGGTCTCAAAACAAGCCGCATGGCTGGGCATCAGGTCCAAAGCTCGGGAACAACAGCCGTTCTTCAACAGGTCATAAACATCTACCATGGGCTAAGTTGAGCCATCTAACACTGCCCTCCGACCCCCAGCTTGCGGCCGTAAGCAAGGGATCAAGGCCGAGCAATCTCTGGAGAGGAATCCTTAAGATGCCTCTTCCCGCCAAGGCCTGGTGCGCTTCTGCCGCCCCGGGCCCCGTCCTTAGGCCGCCTGGGGCGCTTACATCTCGTAGCATTTTCTTTTCTCTGAAACTTCTGTTTGGGCCAAGCAACCATCAAAGGATCACGGAATTTTGTCGCAGTGAAGCGCAGGGGTTTCTCTACAAATCCAACCTGGGCCAGAGGGCGGCGAGCAGCAAAAGGCGCAGACGAGACTCCGATGCCCACTTGGCAGCAATGCTCTCATCTCAACTTCGGTTGAAGAGATCTGGGGACTATGCCTCGTTGGTTCCAGGACCCGCTTTCAAACGGAAGCGGCTGCAAAGCTCTTTCCGAATGGGACTTCAGCTGCAGGAGCTCGTAAAGTGTTTGCCTCAGACCAAAAACCGAAGCTAAACTGGGTTCCCTGGTTGCGGAGAGTTCCTGCAGATCCAAGACCACCTTCTGCAGGCATTGCACATGAAGACAACAAAGAAGCTACAAGTACTCGTAGCTCAAGCGCCATTCCGCTCTGAGCCTTACCGGCCTGATCAACGGTACATTCAGTAGTCGTCGCACTCCGTGTCCGAAACAGAACATCACGCTGTCCACGAGGCTGTATCTGACAGGACACCTAAGAGGTGTTCTATCTTATGCTCAGACTTTCCTCTCTTCAACTTATGCTCTGAGCCTAGTCGAAGCAGTGCTGCATTTGGCAGGGGCATCCCCACACTGGTATGTACACCTCCACTTGTTCATCTGAGCCCTGGTCTCGGCCATGGGCTTGGAAGGTCTTGGCCATCCAAGCGGGGAAACTTCCCAAAGCAACGAAAGCCAAGCGAGTTCTAGCCTAGCCTAGCGTTTGGAGTTTAGGTGTTCCATGGCAGCCTGGAGAGCCCGCTTAACAAAGAGAAAGCCTTCTACGACTTAACCCGCAGCCCGGAGCGCAGATGCGCTCACTCACCGTCGCCGGAGTTTTGCCTTGGGCCAGTCGAAAAAAGCCAACTTCCCGCCGATGCTAAACTCGCGAGACTCAAGTTGACAGTCTATCGAGACAAAGTCCGTTGCCCTAAGCCCTTACATTGACGGCAGTATCATGTTGCAGCCCGTCTGGGTCTGGACTTCCGATGAACGAGGCACGGAGGCACTTGGCAGCTTGGCTCCGGGCGGCGGCCAAAGCTCCTAGAGTGAGAACAGAAACCTGGGAGTTGTGGCGTGGGTGATGTAGGGGCCTGGAGAATTAGAGTAGGGTCTTGGGGAAAATTGTACTGTAATTAAGACAAGGAAAGGCCACCACATTCAGTTCGGCTTGCCCGTCGTGTCCTTGCTGATTTCTCGAACGTTGTAAGGGCGCTCATGCCACTCTCTCCACATCTGTCATCTGTCATCTCGAACCAAACGCCACAAGCACAGGCCATGGCAGACCGTTTGCATTCCGCCATGGCTTCTTTGGGATTGTGAAGTTTGGAGGCTGGCTCAGTTCTTGAGATCGTTCAGGATGAGTTTCAGTTCAGCAAAGCACCCTCCTCTCAACTCGCACGGTCAGCTAAGGGCCGAAGCACTTCGAGCGGGGAGTCCGAACCTGCCCCCTTCTCGGACCTGCTCGCTGCGTGAGTTTGAGCACCGCGCCGCGGCGACACCCAGCAGTGCGAGCCCAGGACGTTTTTGCTGAGCCTGCGCCGCAAGGAAGCCTGCCATTGGGCGAGGTCGCGGCCACGGTAAAGACCGAAAGAGGGCCTAACGGGCCTAATCCCCAAATGCGAAACCGTAAACCCCTAGCCTTGGGCTTCACAGAGCTTTGCTCAAAGCTTTGTGGGACTTCAGCTGGCATTTGAAGTCTCTTGCGATGTTCCTGCCGGGCTTGGCTGGACGTCTATCCGAGCCATGTAGTTCTGAAGAAACTTTGCAGCTGAGAAGACGGTCAAATTGCAGCTTGAAGCCTTTTGATCAAGAATTTTGAGAGCATGCCCCTTCACTCGCAAAAAAACAAGAGCTTTGATGACAGGTCTACACGGCCCTGGCAAGCAGTCTCCGAAGCACACGCCTCGCCTACGAGGGAGTCGCTGCGTTGCAAGCCCGAGGGGTCGTCGTGCCTGCGCTTGACGAACGTGGCAGGTCGGAAGGTTTGGGACTTTTGCTGCGAACACACGGAGGCTACAGCATGTCAGTGGTTTGCTTCACGGGGTAGATCTTCGAAGTCTTGGGGAAGACTGACTGCTTAAGCCCAACGACAAAACTCGCGCTGGTAGGACTGACACTCATACTTGCACGCTGGCCATATCACCCCAGAAACTGCTCTCCGAAGTTTGTGACATCAAGACATACGTTGCAGCATTGTCCTACTGTTTTCTGATTAAATTGATATTGGCATGGCTATACCAGTATTACAGCCGAACTTTGCAAACTGCCACAACTAACATGTGCAGAGACCCAATATCGATGATAAAACACCTGAAACTACCTATCAGCCGCAGTGCCGCGATCGCCCAGATCATGTTAGTGACTCCGCTTGATCATCGCCATCATAGTCATCACCTTCATCATCATGGGCACCAGCCTGATCAGCACGACCACAATCATGCCACTCATCCTGCTTCACAACCATCTCCCCACCAATCCCCGTCAGCATCATCGAAACGATGATTCGTTTCTTCTACCTCGGCCTGACACCCGAGGCTCGGGCCCATCCGTTTCCTCGGCGATGGCCCCCGGAAGCCTTTCCGAAGCTCGGTGCTTCGATTGTAGGCTCATGTAGGGCAGAATAGGGATCAGGGCCAGCGAGACAATCACCATAACCACTGTAAAATGTTGACAAGGCTTGCAGTTCTCAAACGAACAACCTGAAGTCTCGCTCAAACTCCTAAAGGAAGACGCACCTGGGAACCACGGGAAGGTCTTCAAATCGGCTGTCGTACCTGCTGTCTTTGTGGTTGAGCCCCTTCAGGATTGAATTTCCTCTTCGGAACCGTGGATTTCAGGGCCTGAAACTTGGGCAAACAGCACCATATGATGTAATCATTCATCAGCAGGCAAGGGTCCAAAAAAACAGGGAGCAAAATTGTGCCACTGAGACCAACAACAATCAAGATTCAGAATCATAGACGTTCCTTACGGGGTGATCTTGTTTGAGGTAACCGTAACCCCCAAGCTAACATGGCCCCATTGGCAAATGAGGACTGGGAACATGTTGCCCAACTCCACGAAGCTCCCCGTTCATTCTCGGCTTGGCAGCAATAAGGGATTCCATGTCTTTTCTCCCTTTGTGTTCTTCCTGTCTTCCTTCCTCCATTCTCCTCTGGTCCTCTTTCTTCTTCCCTTCGTCGTCAGCGGTTAGGTTTAGTTTTGTGACCCTTACGGGTGTTTGATGCGTTTTTGGACCCCCATCCCTTCCGGTGATGCCCGAGAGATCGCCACGGCTTTTCGCAAAGGGCACTGGTCGTTGCTCGGCTGCTCGCGCTGGCCACTGGCCGTCTCCAGTGCCCGCTGCAAGTCCAGAAGCAGGTCGCGCCTGGAACGACACCCCAAGGCCCCAGTGCTCGGCGCCCAAACACAAGCACCCATACCCCCCGAACGACGTAGAAACACCCGACCGACATAGAAACAAATCTGCATTCGCGCTCTCCGGGATGAAATGAGAGCCAAAACAGCTGGAGATGCACTAATATTGGCCCTGCTCTCATGGGATCCGGGCACGTCCTCGATGCCCACAGAGAGACGAACCAGATCCTGGTTCGACCAAGCCAGTTGGGCAAGAGAAGGTCTAATGCTCCCTGCTCTGTCGCCCCTTGCATGCCTGCGGAAGCGTCTGCTGCTCCGCAGGAATCGATGCGTGACTCATGGTGCAGGGCATCTCCCCCAAACCTGGCGGAGCTGGTTTTGTTGTGTTCAGGACTTCTGATGCGACTTCGCATCTCGCAACTCGAAGCCGTTCTCGACGAAATCCAAATTCCATCCATAACTCAGTGCCGAGCTGTTGACGCTGCCTGGGCGAAATATCGAAGTTCCGCAGAGTCACAACAAAAGGCATAGGCTTGAAGCTGGTCCGCAGCCTGGTCATAAGCTGGCAAAAAGTGGCTTTTTCGAGCCGTACCGGAGACTTTGCCCGAAATCCAACCCCTGCTTGCAACGAAGGGGCCGAAGGACACGGTGGTCTTAAAAAGCCGGCTGGCATCCAACAGCCGGCGTGAGAAGCCCACCGAGCCTGGCTCAGAAACCCGACGGGTTGCAACAGCGCGGCTAAGCTTAGCACTGGTCTACAGCGGTTGTATGCAGTGATAAGCAAGCAACGCTCAAATGCAAGTGGCCCCACAGTCATGACACCGGCCTGTTGTGAAGCTGATGACGCATCCCGGCCCGCTGCTCTGCGACTGGTGTATCCTTCATCATGCTGCAAGCTTCAGAGGACCAGGGGACCGAGGTGCAAGTCCCCAAAATCTTATCAAAGTGCATCCCAAGGCCTCAGAGCCCGGTTGTCACAGCCACCAGGGCCCGGGAAAAAGACGCCAGTGACTTTGGGATGCCTGCGGCTGGGTCTTTGGATTCGAGCTGGGACTTCCGAGCACCGAAGCCCACGGCCTTTAAGGGACTTTAGGGCTTTCAGGCGGTCTTTTGGAAAACACCAGGCAGAGCTCACGGCGCTTCAAAAGCATGTGGCATGTCTAAGTCTACTTCGACTTGCTTCTGTCTGCCCATGAATGCTACAGTACTTTGCCTCCCTCCAAATTTCGGATTCCTGCCCGGTCTCGTTTGAGGCCTGGAGAGGAACTTGGCGATTTCCTGGGCGTTCTCCTGGCACGGGAAAAACCCTAGCAGGCATGGCCAGTCTCTAGGCTGTCCTGGGCTAAAGCGACGCTGCATGGAAGTAGCCGATTACGCTACCAGCCCATCCGAATCCGACACGGCCTCAACCTCACAAGGGCAGCACGAATGCCGCGCGCTGATGATGCAACGGGCTCTAGTGTACTGCACCTCTCTGTACGAATGCACGAAAAGCACGAGAAGGCAGCCTGTGCCCGACTCACTCTGAGCCACATGGTCTTGATGCCCCGGAGGAACAAGAAACACCTTTGCAAAGGGACGGAACTGTGCGGCTTGTTACAAACTCGGGCCAGGTTTCGGGCTTAAAACATCTGTGTACCACAAAGCGGCAAAGTGGATACCCTAAAGGAAACGCCTCTTTTTGGAACATCCCGCATATCTGCGCAGCTGCTCGATGAGTTGTGTTCGATCCATAGACTCTACTCTACCTGTCCTGGGGAGAGCTTATCGCGATTGTTACACCCTGCACCTCGGTCCGAACCAGGAGGGTAAGCCCCAATCGCTACGGCCTGCCTGCTGCAAGATACTAGGAGGTCGTTCAGATCTGAAGCCGAAATCCGAAACCGCTATAAGTATCCCAGGCTTCGGGTTACATGCTCGCATCATGTACTGCGCCGTTCGCGGCCGCTGCTGATAAACGGAAGTCGGGGTTTGGGCTACGACATCGGTACTAGCAGCAGCAGCACCACCACCACCACCACCACCACCACAATCACTACTAGCATTGCTCTTTGGCAAGCTTTTACGTCTTCCACTACCACGACAGCTGCTCTTACTGTCTCCGTCCACCTGCAATACCATGTCTACATGGGTACAGGCGGGGACGCAGGATGAAGAGGTGTAAAGGCCGGGGCGCTCGAAAGGTGCCAGGGCTGTGCCCTCCGCGTTCTGGAGGAAGGCCACACGGTGGGCGAGCTGCACATCGCCAGATTGAAGAGTGGTGGAAGGTTCGATTGCTTGCAAATCTGCTCGAAAAGATCGTTAGGCGACTGCAAGCAAGATTCGATTTCCATCGGCCAGGTAGATTCTAGTCAGGTAGGTACGGTAGACATATACTCATGGTACACCGAGCTTGTTCTGTCCTTGCGGTTCTGTCTTTGCAAAGGTCCTGCTGTTGTGGTTGCGCGGATCGGAGAGACGGAAGTGCCAGAGATGAAGAGCGGGGGAGAGAGAGGGAGAGAGAGCGAAAGAGAGCGAGAAAGAGCGAGAGAGCTAGGGAGAGCTGGAGAGAGCAGAAGAGCAGGGTAGAGCAGGACGGTAGAGCAGGAGAGCAGGAAAGCACGGAGGGCAAGAGAGCAGAGGGAGGAGGGAGCGGGAGCGGGAGCGGGAGAGGGAGAGGGAGAGGGATAGAGCTTTGCCCGCCTCCGGGTCCCTCACGCAAACCAGTCCCCCTGTACAATCTGCATGGCCCGAGAAGAACTTCGTGGCAGAGTGGACCTGAGGACTGTGTGGTAAGGAGCGCTTCCTGTCACTGCTTGCTGGATCCCGAACTGACAATACTGAATCATTCCCTGTCCCTCAAAGCCGTGTTCGGTGCTCCGGTTTAGATTAAAAAGCAGCTCAGGCGAGCACCACGATGTCGACTCCCAGCAACAACGGCTGGCAGATCACGGGCCTCGTCCCAATCTTTCTTCGTGTTTAGCAGTTAGCACAAGCGTTACGGAACTGTCAGGACCAAGGCTCGCTAGCTTCCATCAGCCAAGGCACGGCATCATCGTACTGTCCACACTGAGCAGAACACCTTTCTGGTGCCTAGGCGCCGTTTCAGAACTTAAAGAGTCTGGTTGTCAGGTGGGGGTTTGACTTCAAAGAAGCCTGTTGCCCTCTGTTCGAGCACTTTCTGCAACGCTGGGCTTCCGAATCATCCGACTCTTCGCTGGGCTTTCGGGCGCCAATTTCGCCAGTGCCCTCAGGTCGGTGATTCGCATGCGAGGATTGGAAGGACTCTCCTCAGTGCAAAGCAACGACAAAGAAGACGTTCTGCAGCCTCGTCACTCTGGTCTCTCGCCTCTGCCTCTCAGGTACCCAACAGTCCCGTGGGGCTATCGGCCCTGTCGATCATGTGCCAGACTCCATTCCATTCCGAGCCCACGGCCGTATGGATGATGCGAGTGGTCGGCAAAATCGCTTTTGCCACCTTGAGATTGCGATTGTTTCTGTCTCTTGGACGGGAAGAAAGCTGCAACAGCTGGACTGGACTCCGCATGTCCACTTTGTCACTCTGTGTCATTCACGGCACTTCGGCACCAAATCGGCACTATCAGAAACCGGGGCATTAAGCTCAGGTCTGCATCCAAGTTCGTCGTGTCCACAAATCGCACCTAGCATGTGCATTCGACTGCCTCATGGATAATGGCTAAAATCCTGGAGATGCGAGGCAAACTCTTCTTGAGGCTTTCGTCCTCATTTGCATCAGGATGTCGAGACGAATCCTCGATAATCCTCGCATACCGAGCCCGAATATGTGGTTCACCGTAATTATCTCTCTTCAGCGATGCCGTCAACTGCGCTCGCCGCTGGAGGCGTCCGCGCAAGCTCTCTGCCGCGCCTGAATGCCACTGTGCTTGCAGTCCTGCACAGTCGGAGCTGGCGGCTAATGTTCTGCACTTCGCTGCCTTCGGCCTGCACCCTCTAGCGTGATAAGACAGAAAGTGTTGCTCTCCATGTTGACAACTGCACATTCACTGCACCTCAAGTGCTGCTCTGCGCTCCTGCGTCAGAAGCCGGTGCATTCCACCGTAGATGTCCTCGTTTACGAGGATGTCGTCACCCTGCAATCTGCTTGGGTGCAGAGTCTGCCCGGTACATTAGGCTGCATCGCTGGTAAGGAAACACCAACTGGACAAGTCTTACTTCGCTTCAGAAGTAGAATTCCGAAGGTGGGAGCTCTGCTCGATGCAGGACAGACAGATTGCTCGTCCTAACAACCTTGACCTAAAACCCCTGAAACGGCACCTGCTTCAGCAGGCGCGTCACGGTGTGGAGCGCAGCCTTGTGTCTGAAGCTCTGACTTCAGGGCCATTTTGGTGATCTTCTCTCTGGGACGGGACTGGTTAATCACCTGAGAGACACCTAGATACAGCTCGCTTTGACAGAAAGGTCATGGCTGCTGCCGGGCTGTTTGCTCGGGCTTCATACGAGGCATATGCTTAGTGTTGCTCGCAACGGACTGCCATCGCATCCACTCTCCGCCGGCAGGTGGCAAGCTTGCTTTTGCATATGTTCAGAGCTTCGGCAGTCGGTTTTTATTATATCGCACCAGTAGGCAGCAGCAGCAGCAGCAGCAGCAGCAGCAGCAGCAGCAGTTGGTGGTGGTGTGCGCCAACGTGCGATTTGCGCTTGCGCGTCTTGTGCAACGAACTTGAGACCGCTCGCAGCAGGTCTTGAACTTGTAGGGAGCAAAGCCTTTGATACAAAATGCCCCCAAGCCTCCCGGGTGGTTGTTGTTTGTGACAGCCACTCACCAAAATCACAGCACCCTGCATCCCAGAGGGCGCACCATGCCGGAGGAAAAAGCAAAGGCGGCAGCCGCATGCTCCAGCCTTGCCAAATTTTTGAAAGGCTGGAATGCTTGGATTAGAACGGTTACATTAAATATGACCATCACTACGGAATGTGACGATTCTTGTCGCTTTGCTAGCTTGATCTTCTCAGCACCAGTCATGTTCCTGTCATCGGAGGTGTATCGTGTATCCTCAACAGCCCAGAACCACTTAAAACCGCGAAGCATTAAGCTGCTTTTGACCGGAATCTTGGGCACCCGCATAGCAACGTGTTTCTCAAGGGCGGTCCTCGTGGGGTTTCCGGATCCTGAGCACATCCGTCAGGTTGAAACCATGGCTTTAGCAACTTCACAGCTTGAAGATTGATGCCTAAGAGTTTCAGGCCTTGTGCGTTGTGACCCGGCCGTAACACTAGCAGCGTCAATGGAGAAACCAATGAAGGCAGCTCTGACGATGTTCACAAGATCCATGAAAGGGAGCAGATCAATCAGTCAAAATGCTTCACTCTGGGGTCCGGGCGTGTGTAGTCGTAGGGCCCAAACTCGCTGGACGAGGGCTGAACGAAAGTCGCAGTCTGGTAGATCGGCGTGTTGGAAGGGTGGTAAGGGTCCTGGCATGCGGCTTGAACTGCATCAGAATCAGCATCCCCATCCCCATGCCCCTTAACTTATCTCGTTCTCTCTAGATGACCATGACCATCATCAACGTCATCACCTGCAGCACCGTCATCGCATCATCATCATCATATCAATCATCTATCGACACGAGCACAGACGACAACAACAACATCATTGCCATCGTCATAGCCACCGTCATCGTCGTCATCTCTTGCACTCAGATCTTCGTCATGATGAACCACTGCGACGACGACAACGACTACTCCTCTTCCTCCTACTCCAACTGCTACCGCTACTGCGACTGTGCCTGACGACTACCAGCACCACCGCCACCACCACCACTACTACCACCACTGCGACGACGACGACGACGACCACCATTACTGCGGCTACAGCAACAGCAGCTACAGCAACTGTATCAGTGTCTTCCTCCATCATGCCAGCATCCATAGCTGAATCAGATCGTCGTCGCCCTGGTTGAAGACATCTTCCTCGTCGTCGTCATCGCCAACGTCATCCACACCGTTCACCGCCATCACCATCGCCCCCTCATCATTAGCAGCAGCACGCAACAGTTGTCTTCGTCATCTTCTTGTAACGAACCAGCATTCACATCCTCATCACCATCACCAGCGTCGTCCTGGTCGTCCTTAACTTTGCAGTATCGTCATCGTCATCGTCAACATCAGAAACAGAATACACATAGTCCGCGTCCGAGGCGAGCGTAAGCTAAAGCAGCTACTGCAACACGAAAACCGTGACTGGAAGCCAAGCTTTTCCAGGCCTCTGGGCAACCGTCATATACCACACACTGCGAAGCTGGACGCAAAGCCTGAGTACCAGCGGCTCGAAGAAAGAAGGCCCAGGAAGATGAAGAGAACGGTTTGTGATCAATCGCAGCTCTATGCACATTCACTCATAGCTGAGATCAACGATGGTCAAAAACCCGCACTTTCACGGGTAATTCAATGCTTCGGCAAGATGCGTTCTCGAAGGCTGCGAAGTTTGGCCTGGCGAGAGTCTCAGGAAGATCCCTCCCGCGCACTTTCTTCTCATATGGGTATTGCAAAGTGCTGGGGAGTACTGGGAACTCCTCGCCCTTGCGGATCTCACAACTGCGAAGCATTTCGCCGGCCTGGGCGGGAACGTCGGAAGGTCGTCGTACCTGGCAGGTTTCCCAGGCTTGAGACCTCCTGCAAGCCGGCAAGTGCTCTCCGCCGAAATTGGCCCATCGGAGGACTTCCAATCGTTTTCTTGAAATGCATCAGCAAAAGCCCACCTGCAGCTCCTCTTCTCCTGTGGGTAACGAATCTGACCTCGCATGCTTTGAAATAAAGCTTCAAGCCTTAGGACTTTAGGATTTTGGGTTCCGGTGAGGATCTTCACAACAGGCTTTCCCACAGCCCCACCCGCTGTTGAGCTATGTTGAGCTCAGAGGCTGAAGTCGATGTGGTCCCCGATGGAGCTGCGCACCCTAGGCGCAGGCTGATTTATTCAGTGATTCGAATTTGGGAATTCGAGATTCGGGAACTCTGGCTTTCAGGCGAGTTTTCTCCATGCGAAGAGGATCGCCGAGCCATGACAGGAAGCCGCCACCTAAAGCCCCTGCTGATGCCAACAATGCCAGGACATCTTCGACCCAGTCTCCAGCCCCGGGCTGAGGCTGAGAGGTCAGGTTGATGCAAGACTTGAAGGCGCTTGTTTGTTGAGGGTGTGAACGGCCTAGTGCTACTGTCCTGCCGCCTATGGCCTGTGTATTCAGGGATCACAACATTGGTTCGGAATGTCTCGGCTCGGGTTGCCTGGACTCGTACAACACGTGTGCTGGTTGGCATATGTTGGCATTTTCAGGATTCGCACTCATCACTTCCGTCAAAGCTGCGAACCAAACAGACAACGGATCAAACCGAACCCGCGAGGGATATGAGCTCTTGGTGTGCTTCCCTCTGGCTTGTTGCATGGATATCAAGGCCTGCCACAAAGATCCTGATTCAGATAGCTCTCTGGCATGTTCTAGACTTCACAGTTTGGGACACAAGCCTTAGAGGCTTCGGGTTCCGGCCTCTGCAGCTTGCCTTCGGTATTGTCCGATGGCTGCGACGGGGGTCCCGCCGCCTGCTTTGCGTGCATCTCCCTTCCAATGTTCTCTGTATCATGCGTACATGCATGGTGTACATATGTGTGTATATATTCGTATAGCTACATTTGTAGTCATTCATTTGTTTATCTATTCATTGTTGGTTTGGCTTAGTTGTTTGTTAACTTGATTCGTTGGCTATTGACTCCTATATGTGCCTATTTATCTAATCTAAGTACCTATACTGCTTTAGTACATACATGCAAAATACATACATACATACATACATACATACGTACATACATACCTGCATGCATGCGTGCCTGCGTACCTGTGTACCTACATACCTGCATACCTGCATGCTTGTATGTACATATGCGAGGCATTGCAGGCGCAGTTTTTCACCGGTGCCATGGCAGCAGGACTCCTGGCTTTCGGAGTCCCTACCAGGAACGCGCGTCTGAGTCTGCGCGGAAGTGTTGCAGCGGGGTCGAGTTTTTGCAACAGTGTATACAGCCGATCTGTTGGACTTCAGAGGTCAAGTTTTGCAGGTGTTGGGAACGCGCTTCCGGTATCCTGCACTAGCCATCTGGAAATCTTTCCCTGCTGCATCACCGCACTGTTGCTGCAATTGCTGTGTTTCACAATGAACTGCGTGGCTCCAGCGTAGGCAAATCATGAGAAGCTGAAGGGATTGAATGCCGCTTCACAAGCAACCGGGCTCTAAACCGCTCTCCCGAATGGATAGTACGCCTCGAAGCGCTGTACTCTCCCCGCAAGGGCTGTACTCTCCGCTGCAAACAACGTACCCTTGTCCCTCGTGATGGTAATCGTGATGATGACGAGGAGGAAGCTGATAAGGATATGATAGTGATGGTGGTCTTTGCGATGGGTTTCGATGCTCAAATGATCGTGCAGATGTTATTGATGAAGTTGGAGGCATGATGCAGCTGTTGGTGATGATGGCGATGATAAAGATGAAGATGATGACGATGATGATGATAGTGGTGATGATGATAATGTGGAAGGCGCAGGATTCGGATCACGATTCTGACGACATGTGCGATGGTTTGGACTGCGCTTATGATCATGATAATGAGGATGCTGAGGATGAGGATGGTGAGGACGAAGAGGAGCCGGGGATAAGGTCGAGGATGAGGATGCTGATGCTTGCCGATCACGACCAAGGTGATGACGATGCTGACGGTGCTGACGATGATGATTATGATGATGATGGTGAAGATGATGACGATGACTCTGACGATGATGAGATAATGGTTCGGGTGCTGGAGCAGGTGCTGGCGGTTCGGTTGCTATTGTGTTGATACAACTGTTGCGGAAGCCAGGAACACTGGCCCCTCAACGAGTGAGAGCCCAAAGCTTCCCAGGTCTGCCTAAATCGCACAGAGCTGTCGGGCTTCATCTAGGGCAACAGTGCTTAGGCGCGAGTGAATCTGGCTTTAAAGTTACAGCACCTGTGACTTTTTCGAGGAGGTGCATGCGTTGGTCTCAACAGATCTGCGCTTGGGAGACTTCCACACTCCGAACACGGGAGTAAAGGAGACGCCGTTCTGGCAAGACTTCCCAGGCAAAAGTGGAGGAACTGGCCACCAAATCAGTCAGAGAAAAACTTTGCAAGCAACTTGTCGGGCCAGCTCTCGGCCGGGCAAATGTCACCAGAAGGCGGTTCTCTTGGTTGGATGGAGGGTTCGAGAACGGTTCAAGCTACCAATCTGTATTGCCAAGAGTACAATAACGGCAAAGTCTCCATTCAACGACGGAATGTCAACTATCTATCTGGGCCCCAGCGCTTCAATATTGATTGGATCTCGCGTCGCCAACAGGTTTGCCTCGTCGTCTTGAGGCTCATTTGCCATCGGGCACGTGAGGTCTGCCGAACTCGGCTGCGAAGCCCGGAAAGCGTGTGTACGCTAACTAGGTACTGTAGGTTCTAATGGTCATGTCACAGGTGCATCACAGAAGCTTTGTCAGTGCTTTGCATGGTCACAGCATAGCAAAGCAGAGACTAGTGGACGATGCTACAAGTATATACTGTTGTTGCAGGTCAGAGACTAGTGGCACTTCGCTCGAGTTGACTTGGGGCCTTTCAACCTGAAGGTAGACAAGAATCGCGACGCCATAGCTTTTGTCTAGGAAGGTCGCGCATCTTCAGATGAAGACAACACCGAATCACGACATGCTTGTCTGACAGCTGTGTCCCGTCCTGCTGAGTTGCATACTACGCAAGGAAGTTCTGAACCCAGCCCCGAATCCAGACCGCAAGCAAAAACATAGGAGACAGCACAGAGCCGCTGGCCTAGCGATGAGGGTGCTGGGTGTACCTTGGCGAAGTTTGTCTCCTGAGCCGGTGCTGCGGCCTACGCCTGACTCACTACTCCTGAAGCGCTCCTGCCGCCCCTCTACGCACGACCTGCCGACCTACACCTAAACTAGTTCTGGGCCTAAGGACTTTAGAGCGGTTACGCTCGACTCCGGGATGTTGACTATGCGCGAGATTCCATATCTCACACAGCAAGTCGGACCCAGGCCAGTGACCAGTGCCGAAAGGCTTGTTTGAAGATCTCACAGCAAGTGGCCGAATGCTTCCCAGCCTCCCCGAGTCCCGAAGCCCCAGCCAGCAAAAGGAAAATGCTCTGTACAAAGCCCGCAAAACATTCTCAAAGGAAGCCTGAGCATGCGGGCTAAAAGAGCTGCTGATCGCCACCCCAAACTCGTCCAGGAACCCGAAGCCAACTCCTAAACCTCCCAACCTTCAACCCTGCATGCTCCGAACCCGAAAGCCCTAGCCTAGACTGCAGAAGATCGCGACACTGCTACATACTGCAACGCTAAGCCCTTGCTTCGCAAAACCCGGATCCCGAAAACACAACAACGCCACCGGGAACCCTGCATCCCAGCACCCGGCCCGGTACAAGGTCCTTGAACCGCACAGCAGCTCGGTATCTCGCAGACAGCGCATCCTTGGATCATGCGTTGGACTTGCAGCATTAGGCTGTTATGGTCAAAGCGTTTGAGGGGCTTAAATTGGGTTCAAGGGATTAGGCTTAGAGCTGACACTCATGTGTTTAGCGTCCAGGGGTCTCGTCCAGAGTCCGGGGGTCAGAGCACTTTTGAGCCTTGGGCGTTGGGTCTTCCCGTTCAGGATTTCGTAGGAAACTGGCAGCGTCTAGGTTGCGGCCTGGGTCCCAGGATTTCAGGACTAGAATGCAAAGACAGGCGGAGCATTCCTCGTCTGGTGAAACGCGATCTCGCTCCGCCTTTGAGATGGCGGGACTTCATTCTCGGGTTTGGAGAACTGGTCCGAACTCCAACTACATGCAATTCAAGATCAGGTCATGCCGCATAAATCGCATAAACATTGACCATCCGATAATAGCAGGCTCATGCTCAAGTAGCAAAGGCCATCCCAGCATCATTCAGTGTCAAACAGCACAAACATTTGCCACAAACAATCAGCACATTGCAGCTTCCCAAAAGAAGGCCAACACAAGTGAAAGCTGCAATCCATGAAACGTTGTCGTAACGGAGCAGAAACGTGGTGGAGGGTTCACCCTCCCTGATACCTGTCGGACACACGACGGTACTGTGACTGTAACCATGCGAGAGAACTGCTTGCAGCAAGTAGCAAGAGAGTCTGCCAGTCTATAACAGGCTCGCTCAACAGCAGCTGACAGCGGAATCGCGAGCCTTGGATGCGGAACACACGCAATGTCCAATGCAGCACAGACGTTTATGTTGATGCTGGGTATACGCTGCGAGCAGCAAGACACGAAGCTGAGTCCGCAAACAAATCACCTTCATTACTCGAAACTCGAAGAGCCTCCATGCCAGTGCCAGCATGCTTAAACCCGCTCTCTTGTTGCTCAAGCTGCAGTTGGAGATCCCTCGGACCCGGATCTAGGCTTACCCACAACCTTGCGTTAGTTTTGTCTGGGAGACAGCGGCAAAGCTGTCAAACACGCAAAGACGATGATCAGTGGTACCTGACGCCAGAAAGGGACGAATCTTGGCGAGGCAGATCCCAGCTTGCAAACGCGTGCTACATCCCCACTTTCCATCAGAGCGCTGAAAGCGCAGGGCCTGCAAGAGGCGCAAGATGCCAGGCGAGAGCCAGGCGATAACCAAGAGAACCATAGTGACGGCGAAAAACGTCCTTACTTGGCTTCGGGTGATGAAGCAAGGAAGAAGCAAGTGCAGCCTCCCAACCCCAAGCAGAAGAAAACTCAAGTGCCCACAAATAGGAGTTTCGCCTCTTGTTGTGTTCTCCAGTTTCGATATCACGGCGGTGTGAACAAGGCAAATTGGCCCGAGGGAGCCTTTCAAAGGGGCCTTGGTCTTCCAGTATTGAGGCCCGGGAGATGTGCCTTGGACCGGGTCGTCAACATACGATGGAAGGTTTTCCGAAGGTGTTCCTGGCTGACTTCGTCTATGTTCCGCAACGGACTGAGGGTGTTTCGTCTCAGCTTGGAGCCGAGCTACATGAATGCAGATCTCAAAACACGTGTGCATCGGGTAATCTTGATATCTTAGCTGTTCTGCTGTCTCCTGAGGATGAGGGAGTACAGTGAAGGTGATCAGAAGTGCGGTTTGTTGGCGACTGATTTCCGTGACGATGTCGACCCCAATCATGTCAGAACCTGAAAGTGCAAACCTTCACAGCTAAGACGCAGATGAGCTTTGAGGCTGGGAGCCAGGGTCGACATGTATGGCTGTTTGGGTGTTGAACTTCACCAGCTCGCATGCTTCAGTGCGGTCCAGCGGCCACTGGACGTAAGCAAAAACTTGACGATCACATACTGTCAGGCCAAGAACATTGTACTGGCAGGGAGCGTCAGGAATAGCCGCTGTGTTGAGTCCGGCTGCAGGGCTTCAAAAGTTCTTCCACTACAGGTATGCCATGCAGCCTTAGACATTCAAGAACGTCGCCTGCTGCATCTTTCCGCAGGGCTTCATCTGCTGAAAAGGTTCTGTAAAGGTTGCTCTAAGGGCTACTACAAGGGTTACTATATGGGTCTCTCCAAAGGCTAACTATAAGTGCTACTATGCGGCTCCTAGAAGGAGTACTAAGTTCTCTAGGGCTTACTCCGCTTTTGGGCACCTCGGCAATACGGTGGAGCCAACAGCGGAAAAATCCACCCCAGTGTTCATAAGAAACAGTGTGGCGTAAGGTTCAGGGCTATCGTGTTTTGGGATATGTTCGACTGCAATCGCAATTGCGACTGCAAGAAGTTTTGGGGGGCATATCTTGCTACATTCAGAGGACTTAGGGTATGCTGCCGGCAGTTGTTCAGCTTGCAGCCTTGGGTCGCAAGCTAGGATACCCCTGTCAGTGGCAGAATTCCGCTGCTGCCCACAGAACCCCTAAGCTGCTCGAACACCAACGCCTTCCATGCGACAGGCTGAATCCTGAAGCCTGAATCGAAAGACTCTCAGACTCTCAATCTCTTGCCCCGTCCCCATCAGCAAGCTGTGTCACAAGAGAGCCTCAACTTTGGAGCACAGCACTGCTACCTTGGGCAGTCCACAGGCCAGGAGAGCGGCTTAAGGGTGAACAGTGAAGCGCTGCAGGGCTTCAGATTCCGGCCACGCTCAAGGCGAGATGATGACGATGATGATTGATATGACAACGACGTGGACGATGTTGGAGATCGTGACGACAGCGAAGGCTGTGGAACCGGTGAGGGTGATCGCGTCTGGTCATGGTGATGGTAACATCGGCCATGCTTCTGCTGTCATTGTGCCGGCGGAGGTCAAGGTGCTGAAGACCAACGTGAGGAATTAGAATCAGCTCCCATAATAAGGATAGTCAGTCCTGATGGACCAGGACTGAAACCCACACGCACACTCTGCATGCCAAGTTTCCGGACACACAGACCCGAGAGAAAAGGGAACTCAGAAAACGAAACGCCAAAAACAAGGATCACCTGCTTGCCTAGGAACGCCGGACTGCCAGAGGCCTAGTCCTGTGGGATCACCCGATCCGACACTACAAGTACCAAAGCCCTGAAACGCGAAAACCTGACTCCTTCAACCAAGGGTTTAGGACCAAGGGATGACTTCCCCTCGGAGGATGCGAAGAGCTGAGGCCGCGGCAGCTTCTAAGAACTTTCCTGGACTTTCTGAGCAGGGACGAGTTGCTGCTTGCTCTGGCGTTCACGGGGTTCTGGGGCTTCTGCACATACCGCGTCAATCTAGAGATTTGTTCGTGTTTCGGGCTACTGCATCAAGCTATTGTGTTTTGACCAGTTGCGAGTGCATGGGAGTGGTAGTAACACTAGCAATGAGACAGATAAGAGTCACTGCAGGGGTGCTAGCTATGAGGAAAGACTGGCAACGACAACAGAAAGAGCGACTACCTGTGGGATACATCGACAAGAAGGACTGCTACCACTAGTGGCATACTAAACGCATACAAATTTTCCCAGTTCAGTGTTAGCAACAACCATGATCGTCTCAGCATCATGAACACTATCATCGCCAATCGCGATCATGTTAAAAGTAAAAGTAGATTTGAATGATTTCAATGTTAAAGATCATAACAACAGCAAGCGAACAGCAAGTTCAAGAATCACATGGCAAGACTAGCAACAGAAGCAACAGCCAAGGCAAATCGACAGGAACGTGGTCGAAGCTGGCGTTGGCTATCATCCAATCCCGAAAATACTGATTAGACCACTAGCAACAATCAAAGGATGTTGCTTCGTAGCACTGGCATTACATGCTGGTATTCACAGGGGCAACGATGTGGTAGTAGTTATCATTGTCTGAGGGTTGAAACGTCGAATCATGATGGCAATGTCAAAAAAAGAATGGTCTCATCTGCAGTGGAAAGATAGCACTCCTCGCACTTGGCCTTGGTTCAGGAAAGTCCCACTTCGAAAGCTCTTCAACTAATGACAAGTCAAGTCTCGGGCTCTGGACCGTGCAGCTAGTCGCGCTGCCTCTGCCCTTTGCAGCTTCTTTATGCTGCCTCGTCGCTTCACTGACTCAACCACTCAGGTAATCGCACACAAGACGCTGACAGAGTTAGTGCTTATCATCGCACTGTGGCATCATACAGATGTGAACCACTCAGATTATGAAACTTTGCCACTGGATCCCTCTGGTTCTCGCGCGGGCCTGCTACAGGACTCACACAACACTCCGACACCGACATGGCGGAAACGTGGCCAGTGTCTGCCAAGCAACCGAAGTAGACCATGAAGACGGGAGCGGCCGATTGGCCTGGGTGACTTCGCAATATCCAACACAGGCCGGTATTGTAGTTGCTACGAAGATCCCAGTTGCAAAGTTCCCGTATGTTTCGGGTGGGTGTGTTCTGCAGCAGTAGACGAAGGGACAGACGGATCATGTTGGCTCGAAGCCAGCTGCTGTGACAGAGGAGGTCCTTGGTTAGGGTAGAATACCACGACAAACGCTTCGCCCTTTTAGCCAAGGGTTTCGAGAGCGTCGCCGATATCTTAGAATCACTCCCACTGGAGTGGGAAGAAGCAAGCGATGAATCAACCGCGAACAAGTCCAAACATAATCACAGCAGGAGTAGCGGCCAGCACTAGCAGCTGCAGCACCACCACGACCAATGCTACTACCGACAACGATAGCGACAAAGACAGCCAAGAAGACGACCAGAACAATGACCGCCACAAACATAACTACAACCACAACCACAACCACAACCACAACCACAACCACAACCACAACAACAACCACAACCAGAACAACAACCACAACCATAACACAAAACAACACAGCAGCAAAGCCATCTGCAAGCTCAGGGGCCTTCGAATTCGATTCAAAATGCTGCCCGCGTCATGCGCCGGTCTGGTGCCTAGACACCAGTCGCGCCTAGAAACCAGGACTGTTACGGTGTAGGGCTCAAGATGGAAGAGATTTATCAGTTCCCGAGTTAGCGAGTGCTGCCTGTGTACATGAAATCGTGAAAATAAAACCAAGCCCACAGCAAATCCCATTCTGACATGGACATCGAATACGACACGGCCTTAGACCCAACAGTCTAGGCCGTAGGCCGCATCCCTGCAGGCTTGGGCCGACAGAGCTGCAAAGTTTTACTGCTCACCGTAGCGCATGGATGCAGATTGATGCGAGATCATGACCGTCGCCGTAACGCCAGCAGCAGTTGTACGAGTAAGAGCAAGAGTAAGAAGACGAGCAGGATCAATACTTGAGCGACTGTGAGACGCGGCACTAGGACGAGGAGGAGGACGAGGAGGAGGAGGAGGAGGGAGCAGGAGTAGGAGCAGCAATAGTAGCAGCAGCAGCACTAGTTGTACCAGCAGCAGCAGCAGCAGCAGCAGCAGCAGCAGTAGTTCTTGTTTTAGTTCTTCGCGTTGTAGTCGTTCTTGTTCTTATCGTCGTGATTGTTGCTCTTGTTGCTCTTGACGATATTCGTACTCTTGCTGTTCTCTTCGTTCTTGAAGCAGCAGCAAAAGAACACAAGCCAGCAGTGGCAGCACCTCAACACCTCCGGCGGGAGTCGGTTGAGCCCCTATTCCCTCATTCTCTGAGAGCTCCGTGGAAAGATCGAGCAGGCCCGGTCTCTGAAAGCAGCATTAGCTCTGCGCCAGCCTTGTTGGAAGAGGCCTGCTCCTGCATCCATGACCTCTGATGTACGGAAAAGAGACGAAGCCAAGTGCGGGTGTGGCTGACGACGTAGTGACCCTCTTGTGAGGCACTCCAGCGTCTGGGGGCAAGGCCGCCACATGGCATTCTCGAGGCGACGCGCATCGAGCTCCTGGCACCGATTCCGGCGCTTGCAGTTCAAGCCCAGGCTTGGGCTGAGAGCTTCGGGCATGTCGAGGCCGGGCTTGCGAGGCAGGGGCGGTAACAGCGGAAAAACATGCGCGATGATAGTGGGAGCAATTATCCTCCGTCTAAAGATTGAATTTCTAACGTGACCACTATGACCACAAGATCCTGCCGAATGTGCGTCGGATGACAGATTTAAACCGCCTAAGACATACATGAGAACATACGGAAGTAGGAGAACAATGTCAGAAACGACCACATGTGAGAAATTAGCTGCAGCGAACATAAATGACGAAGTCGGGAAACATGACATGTTCTTGGGTACGCAGAACGTCTCTCACATGATTCCCAATGGGGTGCTAGTTGGTGGGTACCAGAACGCGTAACATCGCGTGACCACCATCATACTTGAGGTTCTTGCGATTGTCACAACTTTTACTTCCCCGAACCCACAAATCTTCAGGCCAGAGGACAGTGCCCAGCCTTCAGTAACCGGCCTGGGGCCTGGGTTGAGAACCCTAGCATCTAGAAACTGAAACCCAGCGTGTAAAATTCTGCGCCAGGCTCATAAACGGCCCAAACTCAACTCTGGACTCCGTCGCCACGAAGCCTGAAGCTAAAACCCTGGCGCAAAAAGATCAACAATAACATCCGAAGCTGAAGCCAGAAAGTCGAATTACAAAGTACTAACATTACAACCGAAAACCACACTGAAATTCAAGACTCTAAACCTCAAAATCCTGATGCACTGAACCCCAACAGCCCTCGCAAGCCCAAGACCATGAACCCTAAACCTAAACCTCGAAACCCTCAGTCCCAAACCGCAGAAACCCCGCGCTGCAGCACCCTGCCAGCAAACTTCAGACCTTAACACAATAACAATAATAAGAACAATAATCATAACACAGTAGTAACGATAATCAGAAGAAGACTAAGGAATAATAGTAATAATGGTAATAAAGATGCTAGTAACAGATACTAGTAATAATGAAAATGATATCCCCCAAACCCGATTCAACTTCTTAAGGCCCCTGACCTGATCGAGACCGGAGATCGCCATTTTCGCGGGGAGACCTGACAAAAATGAGTCTAGACGAGGTGAGCGTTCAGGTGTTAGAGTTAAGGGGTTTAGGGTTTGGTCTTGAGGGGTTGTGGGCGTAGGGCTTACTGTAGGGTTTAGGAGTTAGGCTTTGGGATTTAGGGTGTAGGATTTACGGTTGAGGAGTTACAGTTTGCAGTTTAGGATTTTGGGGGTTATGGTTGAGGGGTTTAGGGTTTCGTGACGAGTGTAAAGGCGGTTACCAGGTCTCCGTGCTCCGGGAGACTTCCAGCACGACCCAACCCGGTCTAGGTTTAGATTAAATCAAGCTTTCAGGGCTCAGGAAGTGCTGAATGCGAAGCTCTGCCCAGAGCGTAACTTGAACAGGAAGCTCGGAAGCAAGGGCACGCTTGTTGGGGAGATCGTAAGGGTTGGGGATCGGTGTTCGCAGTGCTCCCAAGAAAAGCCATCCAAGAACTTGCTTTGTTTGTGGCGTGGCGTGCGGTTCATGCTGATGCAGCACTGCAGTATATGAGCGCTACCTGCATTGGCTTCGGCAGATATGCAATCGTAAACCAGAACCATATAACCCAACTGGACACCCTTTCTGATCCGGAGTTGCCCACGAGGACAACCTCCGTTCACTCACCTCCCTTCCGATGCTAAAGCCCTCAACATCTGACACCCAAACCTTCGACTCTTCAAAGACCAGGATAGGGTACAAGCTTCTCCTCAAAAAAACCGAGCGGCAGCGTCGGTCTGCACTCCCCGGACAATCCGCGTAATGCCGGGGTACTCTTGAGAGTCAATCCATAAAGATTTCTAGGACACAGAACCGGGTCATGGAGGCTTGTGGGTTTCGATGGGTTTCGGGTTTGGAGTTCAACTGCGCCGCGTGAGGTTCCCTTTCGAATTTGGGTTGTCTCAGGTGTGCGTGTGTGTGTGTGTGTGCAGTATTCGACACGAACAAGTAGAGCATGCCAACCCGACCCAAGACAAGATGCGCGAATGAGACTGTCTAACAGCACTTGAGGTACAAGTATATCAGCACGAGTTCGCACTTGCATCTTCTGTTCTGGGCAAGGTGTGCTGAGTGTCGCCTTTCGCCTGCAAACCTGTCAGAGACTGAGAGCCACTTGGCTGCGAAGCACAACACATGGCTCACAGCTGACCATCATATTCCCACATTCTCTGGATAGCCTTCGTCCTTGTCCGAGTGCCGTGCACAAATAGCAAGCGACATGTAGTGATCACAACGCTCGTCATGAGATCTCTGAGCCCATGCACCCTTGAGAGATGCAGTACAGCAAGGGAGGGGGGGCAGACTCAAGCGCAATGTAGGAGGCTCCAATGACCAGGGTCTTCCCAGGCGCCTGTCAAGTCCAGGACCCTCTGAGGACACTTCCGTCTTCAGCCCGTCTTCTCGGGCTATCAGACGGTGCTGGTCGAAGCTGATGCAGCACTAAGATCCGGAGGCAATGACGATCGCAAGCCAAAAAGGAAGCAATGACCCTGAGTTGTTCTTCAGGGCTCAAACGCTTGATCATCGTCACGGTAAGGCGGCCTTCTTCTGCCAAAAGATGTCGTCCGAGCTGATGCAGCACTCCTGGATACTCCCCAGGGCCCTATAGGCTTGCTAACGGGGCGGCTTTGCCTGAAGGGCATGGGGGACTCAGGACTTCCAGGCCGAGTAAACCTCCGGAAGCCTTAGGCCCTAGGCTCATGACTCGCACGTCCAGTCCTTGACGCCCGGGACATCGCCGTAAGCAGGCCGGCCGCCACATGCTATGAGGATGTACTTGGCAGATACCTGCTTTTGTGGGCTGGGCCTCTTTGAAGAGATGGGTGCAGCAGCGTGGCATGGCTTAAGGCGTGACCCAGATTCTGGAATGCTGATGGTCATTGCTGCTCTTGGCTCGTTTTCCTTTTGTAGCTCCTGGCCTAATTACTCCGGAAGCCTTCAGCAGCCCTCACCACCTCGACCAAAACCTGAAGGGAGAGGTGCACAGGTTCACCAAAAGGATTCAGAGCTGCTCTGGGTTGCCTGCCAACCTGCCTCCGCCGAGCTAGATCTGTCAGACTCAGAATCAGAAGAAACCCTGCCGGAGCCTGCCTCCTCTTTTTTCCCCTTGCCGTTGTCCAAGGAGATGGTGTGTGCATCTTTGAAGGTTGCAAAGGAGTTGTAGTACCTCCCGGAACAGAGCCGGACTGCCAACAAGGTGATGGACGAGATGAGTCAAAAATTCCGGCAAGCATGGGATACCAGAAAGCAGCTCGCGGCACTTGATGTTCTTGGAGCGCAGGTCCGTCTTGGTCCCCCAGTTCAAAGACTTGATGTAGTCGTTTACCTGCAACCCAGATCCCGTCGCCAGAATATCTCACTGCCAGGTAGTTTCGTTCTGCAGTCAAGGCCGTCGGCTGAAAACCCATGCCAAGACAAGGTCGGTGGTGTTGATATTTGATATTGCATCTATCCAGAAAACGTCACGAGTCATTCAGGCTCCTCCTAATAGTCTTACGCCACCGAAGAACGGGAGCAGATCCTCACCCCTCTCCCGGCCTGATTCACCATGCCAGACCAGCCTCGTGCTTAGGGCTTATGGGTCCTCCCTCTCAGTTCAAAAGCCGCCATGGGTACTTCCGAGGCAACCGTGAGCTACTTGTGTGGTAGGTGGTCATTCTGACTGCCAGCACTGGATTGATTCTACCCCTCGCTTGCAGCCCTCGTTTTATCCGAATAAGATAGCAATAGATAGCAGTTCATGGGGAAAGAAGAGTGCTGCAGCTTTGAAGGTCTTGCATCTCAGATGACAACCTTCGGGCCCCCTCCACCCCAACCTTAGCACCAGACTTATTCTTCCTTCCATTCCCTACTAACCAAAGATCAGTAATATAGTACCCTAAATAGTAGGATCCTTATTACAAGGACCTCAAAATAAGGTACCCCCAATTGGGAAGAGCGCCATCGCTTGGCCCTGAGTCCCGCGCTGTGCGAAGACTTTGTTTCCCAGCCCATGCCGTGCGCATCCGTCTGCCAGGCGTGGAGGGAGAAACACACTATAATCAAGGAAGGCTATAGTATAGTATAGTATAGTATAGTATAGTATAGTATAGTAGTATAGTATATAGTGTATAGTATAGTGGGAATGTAAAAGAAGCATGGAGTTCTGAGGCTCTCGGGAAGAAGACGCGCAGGTTTCAGGCTTCCAGGGATCAACTAGTTTCACATCTCACGGCTGGGGCGCATTTCGTCGAAGTCTCCAGGCTTGTGGCCTTACGACTTACGCAGACCGTAGCAGACCTACTCGACTCCACTTGCTACGCTCTCAAGGTGCTTGCTGTAGGGATGCTAACTGATCCAGTTCATCCCACCAACCATCGAAAGCAGATCTGCAGGCGGCTGATTCCGGGAGCTCTCTCGTGCACACGTAGCATGTTTTTACCCAGGCCCACCTGCGTTTCTCTGTACAGCGACGAGATGTGCATGAGCTTTTTCCTCCGGTCAACTCACATGTGTCCCAGTGTCCTAGAGTACTGTCAGGCATTGACCATCCCCCAGTGCTGGACCGCCAGCCGCTCTCAAGTAAAGTCGATTTCCAAAGCTCACGGTAGCTCTACTTGGCCCGAACTGTCCGGCAAGGCAGAAGTGCTCTTGCTGAGACTATCGGAACATCTGGAAAGCCAACGAGGGGAATGGAGCTGCGGCGCAGGAATGCATCCAGCTGAAATATGCATCATGAAGTTCCGCGACTCCGAGATTCCAAGCATGCGATGCTCGGCTGGCTTGTATGCATCCCCTCGTAGCTACCTATCATGAACCATGTGCGTATGTAGATACACACATATAGATGTATAGACATATATATATATATGTATATATATATATATGCATATGCATAGATTTCGAGACAGATATCAAACAGTTGCACGTGGTCGGCCATGTGCGTCTCAAGGCCAAGTGTCGGAATGCACCCCACATTGACGCAGGTGCCACCAATGCCCTGCACAAAACAAGGTTGGAAAAGCGCTACACTACCAGAGATCCGGTAGTTCGGAGGATGTTGAAACGAAACTGAACACGACAACATAGAAGTTACAGAGCATTGAGGAGGCGTTCACAGCAAGACCCTCATCCTCGTCCCTTCAGAACCACTACAATAGCATCAGCATCACATCATCATCACCACCATCATCACGAGCAGCATCAGCGCCAGCATCAGCATCATCATGAGCACCATCACCATAACAATGATCATCACCATCGTCATCGTCGTCATCTTCATCATCATCATCGTCATCATCGAAATAGTTTAATGCTACCAATCTCATCATCTCACTACTGTCACCATCATTACCCACGTCGTCGAACATGAACGACTATCACCGCTCTTCAATTCTTGCATCCCCACGCTTGATAGGGGATGTGAAGCGATACGGTTCTCCTTGTTCTAAACAAACAGGTTCCGTCTCAGATTGCCTGCTGATCACTTGGGCCCCGGCCCAGGTGGTCCCTGCAGGCGACGGCTTCACGAAGTCGGCTACTGCGACCTGGCAACGTCTCGAACGGCTGAGGGTTTAGGGGTTTAGGGTTTTAGGGTCAGGGATTTAGGGTTTAGGGGAGCGTGGGGACTTTGCAAGCCTCCGGGAGGGCCCATTCGCTCTAATGCCATCAGGAAATCTACGAGGGGCTTAGCTTCGATTGTCCGCCAGGTCAGAACGGTAGAGCCTCCAAAAAAAAACAAACAAGCATGTCACCAGCTCTGATAGTTAAGAGTTATGTTGGCATCGTCAATTCTTGTCTTGCCACTGATGACGACCTTGTCGCCTAATTTTTCTTGCCATGGATGAAAACCTTCCTTGGAGGACATCAAACCGGATCTTAAAACTTTTTCCCGACACAATCACCAAAACATGGTCCAGATCCACACTGAAAATGTCCATGTCCCACACTCACAAGGACAAACCTGTGAGACACGTGTGCACGCGCAAAAACGGCTCTTCTGGCTTGCGCTACGCCGCATCACCCGAGATACTAGACCTTCCCAAACCAAGCGCCCCAAACCGTCAGCACATCCCGAGACTGGCCTTTTACTTTGACGTAGCGGCCGTAGCACGTCGATCAAAGTTTTGAGTTCACTACCGCGTTACATGATACAGGGACCGCTGAGGATCAAAATGAGTCACGACATGGGAGCCCAAGTACAATCAGGCTCTACTATTACTATTAACATTACTATTACCGTTATTACTACTATTGTTGCTATTACTATTGCTACTACTATTCCTATGCTCCACCCCGCAGCTGGCCTTGGCGCCCAGGTCGCTGGCTGCCTTCGTCGCAGCAAGGCCGCCAGACCCGCCGCCAATCACCTTGGATCTCGCGAGGAAAAGATTAGGATGGGGGTTTTGGTCTATCTGAGTCTATCTTCTAGTACGCAATGTATTATATATATTATATTATATATTTATATATATATATATACATCTGCATATATACATCGGTCTATATTCTAGTAGTTCTGAGGTCTGGTACGGTGGCATATTCAAGGGGCTTCTGAAGAGCTCACGATTCCGTTACGTCGGGTGTCAGGGAAGAGTCTGGACTCGGACTTGGGTGCCGGTGTGCCAAGATCTGTGCTTGTCTCATGATTTCCGGCGACATCGTGTCTTGAATAACAGGCCTGTGGTCGGAAGGTTTCGTCCGCAGCCTAAGACATCCTAAAACTACCTAACCTCGGCGGTCAAGTATAGTACAAAGCGGACCGGTCTTCAAGTGCGAGCGAGCTGCGAAGAGATCATAATCATACCTGACAGGACACATCAACTTCTCTGCCCGTGATGTGGTCCTTTGCGGTCGTGCTATTGTGAGGTCGCAAGCATCGTGTCACCTGCTTTCCTGAAGTAGAGCTGGAGCGTCCCTCATCACATGAATGCATGGCAAACACGGCACCCAGACACTGCATGACACTGCTGCACACCTTAACCACGACTCCTAAACCCCCAAGCCCAAACTCTGAGAAGCCAAAGTGCTCGGCCATGGCGCCACGCAGACGCCGCCGGCCACCCCCAAACAAAACGCTGCAGCACGAAGAAAGAGGGGGCTTTCGAGTCTCAGGCCTCGGGTTTGGGGTCTTATCTTGCGGTAATTTATGCGGACCCCAGCACTCGATGGCAGTCTCTTGAAATCACCACTTCAACGTCAATGGTGCCACAAGCAGAAATCTTCGCATGCGTTTTCGGCGCGTGCGGCGTCATACGAGCCAAATGTCCAGCCACCTCATCTGCTCACGCTTCATTGCAGCGGCCACAGGGGGGAATGTGTAGCAAAGCAATCAAGTCAATATGATTCACATGCTGGACTTTCATTCGGGAGAGCCTTGTCCGACACAGATCGCGAGACGCCGTGTCCATCACTGCTTGAAGTCTGCGCATTTCACGTTGTCTGGTGGCACGAGACTTGCAAGAAAAGGCCACGGAGCTGTAAACGTAAGTCATGAGCAACCGGCCACGAGCACGATGACAGACACGAATACCTTTCAATGCTGGTTTCAACTTAGCCCAACACTTGACCCCACGCACAATTTTGCGAGACACTGCTTCGCCGGGAGCCATGCAACCACCAACTAAGCAACAAATGTTGCTGGCAGTGCCATACCGATGCCGTTCACGCTTGCCGTCGTGTTCGCTGGAGCCCCATAGAGCCACCGCCGCCACATAGGAGTCCATTGACAGGCCGCTGAAGCCCATGAAGAGTGGTGTCGTTGGCGAAGATGGACATCTCCACCCTTGTCTGTTCGCATTCGCGACCATCATTCTTCCGTGTCCATTCTGATGACAAAGACATACAAGGCTGCCATCGCCAAGGAATGCCACACTGTAGACCGCGTCGTTCTGCATTGTCAGACCGTCGTTGACCAGCAAATCGGGCAACATCACCAAAACCGCAGGTGGGCAAGCCGGTATGTTCAAACCAAGCCTGGCCACGTGCATTCAGAACCTTAGCCAAAGCAAAACCACACCGTGCCAAGTGTCCATGGATTGAAAAGGCGGCTTTTGTTTCCAAAGCGGGACCTGCAGGGATCTGCAGGGGACAGGGTGGAGTCTGCCCGGTGAGTGCTCCAGGTCGCCAGCTCCTTGTCCCTTCTCTGAATTGTCAGTAGGTTCCTTTCGGCCCGCATCGGCACTGACCTTTCATTCTCAGGTCTTCTTGATGGTGCCTGTGTAGCCACCATTCCAGTTGTGGCCCAGGGCACTTGACTTCTTTGCCCTCCAGTGTCGTCTGCCACTTGGAGTTCCAGTCGTTCTAGTGGGCTCCGCCGCCTTAAGGGGCATAATTTCTACCACTACGCTATCGCGGCGGAGGCAGACGACGCGGCCCAGACCGTCGAGCTCCTCGGCCGCCCAGTCTTCCGGCGGAGTGCAGTAAAGTAACTCGATGAGGTCTCATCTGCCAGAAGCGAAGGACCACAGGCGGGAAATCATCTCCACCACTGGCGCTAGGCTTGAGTTTGCGCACAGCAATGCAAACTTCATCGAAAGTGATGTCAGCATCCAATTCCTGGGCAAGAACACGAGAGCTCTCGGGAACAGGTAAGTCGTCAATCTTCTGGATCAAGAAATTCCGGCTCAGCACTGATTTTCTCGGAGTGTTCACATCATTCTTCAGGCGCACAGGGGTTTTGGCGAGCCTTCCGGCGTTGCCCGCCCTGCTGCACAGTGCGAAGGTAGACGCACTCCTTGCCGCCCTCGGGATGAGCCTGTCGATCGGTGCAAGGTGTCAACCTGAAGGCCCAGGGCTTGGATTCATGGCGGATGTCAGGGGGAGCCTTCAGTGACATGTGGTATGTTGTTACGGTTTAATCTGTGCTGTTGTCGTCGTTTCTCCTTATTCCAGGTCTTGCTGTGCTGAATTCAATCCAGCTCGGCATCGTGCTTTCCGTTCAGTCATTCCAGATTTACTCGCAACAGGCTCACGTCCTCTTCACCACTGTTAAGTTTAGCCAAGGTGCGACGAGCAGCATGACAACGTATGGTAGACAAACCTGAAGACGAAGCAGCACGAGTCCTGCATGCAGCACCACGAGGATCTGACGCAGCGTTTGCTGCTAAGTCATACACTAACATGTATAGAACGATGAAAAACGGAATTGACACTATCCCACTAGCCAAGAACGAATCGCAGTGCTGACAAACTAATCTCCCTCTTATTAAAACACCATGAATAATACTTCTGGGGGCCCCAAATCTCCAGCTTAACGCCAAAAAATACATCTCATTCGCCAAGGTTTCCATTACAGCCTATTTGGCGGCAATGCATGGTACTCCCTGGTAACTGTTAGCAGCCCACATTCGATTTGCTTACTTCTACACGCATAGCCCCCAACGCTAACTTTAGTACTGATTGCCAATTAATTCGCCTCGGCCCCGGCCGAAGCGGTCAGAAGTTCTAATGGATTTGGGCTTTGGGTAGGGCAACGCCCCCCCCCCACCCTGCCCCGGCCCCCCCCCCCTCCGCCCCTTCCCACCCCCGTTCTGCTTGCATCAGGGGCTGCGCTTTCTCCCTGTACTCTGCGGGTTTAGGGTTTAGGGCTTCGGGTTTGAAGGTTAGTTTGGAGTTTCGGGTTTCAAGCCCATGGGTCTGGGTAGGCTTTCGGGTTGCTGCTTTGCGAAACAATGCACCACAGCCGGGCCGAGGCAGACGACGCGAAGCGTTTAAAATTAACTATGAATCCCCAGTGTTATTTCGGCAAAGGTTACGAATTCATCAGTTTTGAGCAACCCCGAATGCGATTCGAATACCTCTGTAGCAGGCCATAAGTTCAACAGGAAGGATGCCAGATACCCTGAATGGGCTAACATCAACTGTGGCGTGACAAACACAGAAATAATTTCAGGCTAGATGCATACATAATGAAACGGGATGAAAGGGGCACATTCGGAAACGGATGCCCTGAGTAATCAAGACAGTAACAGGGGACGGATGGAGCCGGGTGTCACTGAGTCCTGTCATTTAATGTGCCTCGGGTGCTTTGACAGTCAGCCACTGGAGAGCTAGCTCACACACACCAGAAGAGCAGCAGCAGCACCACCACCACCCCCACCACCACCACCACCACCACCACCACCACCACCACCACCACCACCACCACCACGCACGAGAACAGCAACAGCAACCACGACGACGACGACGACGACGACGACGCAATGCAGTAGTTTTGCCTCTGCACTGCGTTTAGAAGACCCTACTTCTGTGCTGAGTAGACCCCGTGACAGACCACGGAAGTGGATGAGACGGACGAGCCCGCGAGGACATGAACGAGACGAGGGACGAGACCGCCCCGTGCCGGCCTTCCACGCGAGCCCACCAACTACCTAACTCAACTCAAACTGCTCTACATCGTGAAACAGTGACAAGCTCGTAGTGCGACCACACTGTTTGGGGATCCAAAACCCAAGACCCTCTAGAACGTTCACCTAGATTCGGATTGCGATCTGGCAGTCGCCTGAGTTTTGCGCCCCGGGCCTCCACTGCCTGCAAGTAGGCCCGGACATCTTCATCTGTACAACCCAACGGCTGGAAGCGCTCTCGCCATGTTGGGCTTTCTACCGTGAGGGGATGTCGGTATGAACCAACGCTTTGCCAGTGGTCGCGATTCTGAACATGGAAGCCACGCATGGATGGTCGGAGAACTTCATTGCATCTCTCCTTTTGCCCTCTTTGCCCTCAGCCAGCACAGGTTCGAGAAGCTAGTGGGCACCTTGGGCACCATTCAAATCAAAGGCAAACATGTTCATTCACGTTCAGAAGTTCCGAAGGGCTTGGAAATTGGAAAGGCGAAGGGACAAACTAACTCAAGGCTTCGAAGAGGCTGCTCTTGGCTAACAGACAGGTTGGAGAGACTTCTCAGATATGCAACACCTATGCAACACAACTCCTCGGTCCGTTCCTTGACTTGGTGTGTAGGCTCACGTGTGGGGAGTCCGGGTGACTAGTAACTGTCGTTGTTCAGTTTCCTCGGTAAGGTCTTCGTTGACACCCCAGAGTTCAGGTCTGCAGTGACTTCCCTTCCGAACAGGTCGTTGCCAAAGCCATTGATGCTTGTTTGTATTATGCACCACCTCCTCCGTATGTCATATGGAGGAGCAATAGTGGTAGTGGTGGTAGTGGTGCTAGTGGTGGTAGGGATGGCAGTGGTGGTAGTGGTGGTAGTGGCGGTAGTGGCGGTAGTGGTGGTAGTGGTAGTGGTAGTGGTAGTGGTAGTGGTAGTGGTAGTGGTAGTGGTAGTGGTAGTGGTAGTGGTAGTGGTAGTGGTAGTGGTAGTGATAGTGGTTGTGGTAGTGGTAGTGGAAGTGGTAGTGTTCGTGGCAGTGGTAGTGGTAGTGGCAGTGGTAGTAATGGTGGTAGTGGTGGTAGTGGTGGTAGTGGTGGTAGGGATGGTAGTGATGGTAGTGGTGGTAGTGGTGGTAGTGGTGGTAGTGGTGGTAGTGGTGGTAGTGGTGGTAGTGGTGGTAGTGGTGGTAGTGGTGGTAGTGGTGGTAGTGGTGGTAGTGGTGGTAGGGATGGTAGTGATGGTAGTGATGGTAGTGGCGGTAGTGGCGGTAGTGGTGGTAGTGGTGGTAGTGGTGGTAGTGGTGGTAGTGGTGGTAGTGCTGGTAGTGCTGGTAGTGGTGGTGGTGCTGGTAGTGGTGGTCGTGGTGGTCGTCGTGGTGGTCGTCGTGGTGGTCGTCGTGGTGGTCGTCGTGGTGGTCGTCGTGGTGGTCGTCGTGGTGGTCGTCGTGGTGGTCGTCGTGGTGGTCGTCGTGGTGGTCGTGGTGGTCGTGGTGGTCGTGGTGGTCGTGGTGGTCGTGGTGGTCGTGGTGGTCGTGGTGGTCGCGGTGGCGGCAGTGGCAGTAGTGGTAGTGTTGGTGGTGGTAGTGGTGTTAGTGTTAGTAGCGGTAGTAGTGGTTGTAAGTGGTAGTAGCGGCAGTAAGGTAGTATGGTAGTAAGGTAGCAAGTAGCAAGGTAGTAACATAGTCAGGTAGTGGAAGTGGTGGTGCT